GGGGGGGGGGGGGGGGGGGGGGGGGAGTGGTCTTGAAGAATGTAGGCAATTCTTCGACATTTTTTCATCCTTTAGTGTTTTTTCTTTCATCTCTTGACTCATTAGAAATTTAGTTGGCAAAGAATTGTACAGTCAACACGTTCAGTTCACATATAAGTAAAGTATTAGCTGACTTTGGGACTTTACATTTGCAATTACAAGTGTTGGATTCCTCTAACATTTTTATGTTTAGTTTTTCAGACTTCTTTATTAGAAAAAAAAACTGTTTGCAGCAACCCTACTCCACTCACAACCGAAGAGAATCAAGTTTCCCAGCTCACTTAATTTGAAAGCCTGCCAAGATAGGTGAAAAACCTTATAAATATGTAAAGCAGGAAGTTCAAATTACAGTCAAGTAAATCCCTAATGATTGATGTTCTTCTCAAAACAATTAAAAGAATTTTTAAAAAGAACAAGAAAGCAGCGCGTTTCCTAGACACCCCGCAAGCACCCACACCAAAGGGTGGTCCGGAGTTCAGATTCAAGGGTATACTTTAGTGCTGTATTTATTTTGAATTTTTACCACTTCCTGGAGGCCGGGTGGAAGGATCCAAAAAAACTGGGCACCTCAGCCATTTTGTTTGTAAGGCGGAGCAGTAGAACTGGGCTGGCCAGGAAGGGGTTTGGAAGCCGCGTTGAAATGGGGTGGGGGACGAGGGAAGCTGAAAATGGTTTCAACTTAGGTCAGGATTCGGCTACTTAATGCGGGGACCGTGGTGCTCGTGGCTGCAGGAGGCCCTAGGGGAAGTCACACCGAACACACTCAGACGGGCTTCTCTTCCAAATGGCCGCGTCCGCAGGCACATCCCCCACGGACGCCGTCTCGCGTGGAGCCTCCCCACGCGCGGCGCGTAAGGGCGTGCCCAGATGCTCCGAGGACGCGGCCGCTGCCATTGTTGTGCTTGTCACTTAATCCCGAGCCCCGACTCGGGCCCGGGCGGCGGCGCTCTCCCGAGCCCGGTAAAATGGCACAGTCGTGCATTCTTTCCGAGCTGCGGGAGGCGGGAGCGAGGAGCGAGCTGGGCGGCCGCCAGCCAATCAGCGCGCGCGCCCGCCCTCCAGCGCAAAGTTGTTAACCCCGAGCCTCCCGCCGCCGCCCGCTCCGCATCCTCCTGCTTGCTCCAGTCCCTCGAACGCCCTCGGATCCTGCGGCTGCCCGCCCCGCTCCGCCGCCCTCCATGGAGGAAAGTCTCACTTTTGATTTACCAAATATTTTCAGGATGTTTGAAGATCCGTACGCTACCCGGAGGTTGTTTTTTTTGGACAACCCAGTCCCCAGCCTATATTGTTACAATTTTTTTTTGAGGGCTGGTTGCTGCTTTGCCTACACTGATGGTAAGTTTATAATTTTAAACATTCTTGGTGTTACTTCTTTGAAAGGAGAACCAGATAAGAGATTTTCATTGTGTTTCTTCTCACAAAACCAATCTTTGTATTTTTCTTTAGCTTCGATCTGTGCACGTTCCACGTAATTTTGTCTGGTTAATTTTACCAAAAAAAATAGTTTTTTTTTCTCCATTGTTAGAGATAAACATATATAATGAAAATTATACTTTAATTGCTGTAAACTACAGGGGAACTCAGATGTTTCAAGATGGACTTTTTTGTGTGCCAGCAATGTTGGTAGTACCAAATATGTACATATCCTCTTTATAAAAATTATCTATTGCCTAATTTGTACAGAGTAAATTATCAACAAGCAAACTACCGTTGTAGTTTTTATTTTTTTAATAGACCTATTGTGATCCCCTTGATGGAGTGCTTGAATACAAACTACAGAAAGCAGATCTGGTACAGTGAAGGTGGAGATTGACATAACCGGGTTTAAGTTATGGCTGTTGCTAAATAGTGGCTCTTTTATTGCTGAGCGGATCTAACTTGTGGTCTAGGATGTGATTTCTCTAAAGCTCCTTGTCGATTCATCTCTGTAGATCTATCTTATGTTTTCTCCGGAAAGGTACATTTGGGAGACATTTTGTAATTTTTGGTATTTTTCTAGTTTTCTTCTTTTTGCACACGGTGGGAGATTCTTTTTTTTTTTTTTTTTGTTCTGCATTGATCTGTGTTGGTGGCGCTGTAGTGCTCCTCAACAATTTGTCAGTTTTACTAAAAGAAAAAAGGAAGAAAAAAGGTGGGGCAAGATTTTATCTATTATCCTTTAATTTTCATAAAGAAAGTTCAATTTGGTCAGCTATATTATTTAAGCGTTTTCTGTGCACTGTGCACCATGGTGAGAGCAGACATGTCGTCACATCCAATTCGGAGGACATTATGGGCAAGCATGCAGTTGGCAGTTGTGTTTGATCTGAGCTGATTTATTATCTCCACCAGATTCTTTAATAAAAAGCAGGCGTTTACCCTCTCTGTCCTCACCAGCATTTGATATTTATATTTTTCTTATATTACAAAACCATGCCCATTAGTACCCTTTCACCTTAACAAAACATTTGAGTATTAGTTCCTTGGACATTGTAAAAGTTGAATTTCATTTTGAATCAAGGGAATTCTCAAATACCTATTCTGAGCCTGTCTTGAAGATGTTTTAGTACCTTGTCTTGTCCGTTGTGTTTTGAGCTGCTCCTTGAATTGAATTTATAGATAGCGTTGTTGTTTGTTTTTTTAAGCAAATATTTTTGGAACTAAGGTATTTTGTTAAGAATATTACACACCTACTTTTAAGTTAAAAATATCGATGTGCACACATGTAAGGATGGGTTACATCTTTGTTCTTGAGAGTTATCTGATTACAGAATATGGGATTTAGGCCCCAAGCCTGCTAGGAACAAAATATGTCACAATATGACATTGGCTTAACTGGTCTCTGTAAACATCTAGTTGTTTGTGGAGATAATAGGGGATGCCCTCAGTTCAGAGAGAAAGTGGGAGGAATTATACCTTGAAACATATTATTTGCCAAATAAAATAAAAACAACTAAAAAGCATCAGGGTTCTGTCTTGAGAGAGTGACAATGTTGGGTTGTTAAATGTCTTTATTTATTCTGAAATCCATGCATGCCTTTCTCACTACCCGTTAGCCGTCTGGAGAGAAAGAGAGTGTGAAATGTGTAGAAATCGTATCTCCTAGAATCTGCTTATCTCTTCCCTTGAACTTCAGGATGATTATGCCCAATGCCTGTGTCTTATTTATACCGTGCTCAGAGGTTTGTCCGCCGACCCATTTCATTTCCTCTCTTTTGTAGAGTCTAGATGCAAGCGTGGCTTCTGACAGTATAGATTATATATGGAATGAAATATTGCAGGTGTAAATGTGTTATTTAACCTGGTTGTGCTCAAGACTTTAGTTCTTCGAATTTGATCAGTTGAATAAAATATACCTTCCAGCATATTTATTGCTAAAATATTCTGTTCTCCATAATGCAGCAATTTTTCATTTTGTTCAGGTTCTGAAACTAGCAGTGTTTGCCTAATGTCACCTCTTTTAAGAGCAAACTGAACTGGGAAGTCCATCGTAGCTATGCACTCCTCTTTGTTCTCCTGACTATTACATCACTGATTATGAAGTAACCATTAGAGTTCAGGCGTTACTTCTGAAAATACCAATAGACATTTCTGTCACACACACTCGCCTAGATGACCTTTCCATCATTGTGTGAGTAAAGAGGTTTAAATCTGTGAAGTAAAAACAATTCCCTGTTTTATATTATTCTCCATTTTAAAATGTACCTGGTGCTTCGTTTTAGCTCTGGATTCTTTGGGAATTAATTCTTCTTAATTGATGACATTTTATAGACATTTAGTGCATGAGTTTGGTGTGGTTATGCTTTTAATTATAAAACCAAATTTTTCTTTTGATCATTAAAAATTCTTTATAAAATTTAACAAATAGAAAACTAATTAAATTTTTCATGACAGTAATTGCTAGATCATGGGCAATCAAAAATTTTTTTTCAAAATTTTCTTTGTCATCTCAGTCAAATTGATATTTTTTGTGCATATTTTTATCAGAGACAGTAGTAGCAAGTAACCAAATTGATTCTATTAAAATATCTGTGAGTGTGTACGTGTGTACGCTGCCCATCCCTCTTGTGGAGGGAGAGATTAATGAACTCTGAAATGGTCAGGGAACAGGTTGCAAAAGGAAGGGTACAGAAGACAGGGACAGTCTTTAAGTTGGATTCTAAACAATATAGCTCAGAAAAATGAACTTTGAATCTTCAATAATAGGAATAAACTGAAGATTTATTCCTATTTAATGTACTGAACCAATATAGTTTACTAATTCCTTACGATGTGGTCGTTGGTGTTCCCAGGCTAGCCAAACCCCTAGGGAATAGGTATCAGTAGGATGAGGCAGCAAAGGGAAAAGGTGCTGCCCATGCCCAGGGCTAGGCTCCCTTAACTGGGGAGAGCTTTTAAAGGAAGACTGTCTACTCTCTGAATGCCAGTCAATCCAGATCTGAAGCTGCATGTTTTAAATGCTGCTGTTTTGTCCTTCTTGCACATATTCGCCTCTTCTCTGTTATTTCTTGAACACGCTGCAGATATTCTACAAAGGCAATCTACTCTTCCTGGCATGGTGTTGCCAAGGAAAGAAAAATAATATACAAAATGGGTGTGTTGTGTTCTGACTTGGTTTTGATCTTTCCACAATGGCCCTCAAATGAAGACGCCAGGAAGAACATAATGCAGAGATAAGGATTTCATTCTTGAAAAGATAAACACGGTTTATGCTTGCTGTAACACTGATTTCACCAGGGGTTTTGGATGCTCGAGATCAGGCTCTCTCCATCGATAGGACAAGATGCTGGGCCACAGTAGTGAGAGAGAGAAGGGAAAGATTCCTTGTCTTATGCACCCGACATGGCTCCCTGTTCTAATGATGGTTTAAATCTGAGGCCTTAGGTGTGGGGTGTTCCCACTTGGAGCCATGTATAATTTCGACCCGTTTGTATGGATCTGAAAAGGAACATCATCTGGGCACCAAGTATTCACAGCCAGCTTAGGGAGCTGGTGGCAGACCTTCATGTCTTAGCTATAGCACAGACAGATAACACAACTAGATAACAGCCTCGTGTCCGTTCCGTTACAAAGCACTAAGTCCAGCATTGGCTTATCTGTGTGAGAAAGCACTTGAGAGGGGTCCCTGGTAGGAGGAGTTTGGGGTGTTTGTTTGTTTGTATTGATGGTCATGATTCAACCCACAATCCTACATGTTAACTTGAAAAACAAAAACAAAAAACTGGAGAGATGCCTCAGTGGTTAAGAGCACTGACGGTTCTTCCAGAGGACCTGGGTTCAATTCCCAGCATCCACATGGCAGTTCACAACTGTAACTCCATCCTACATTCTCGCACAAACATACATGCAGGCAAGACACTAATGCACATAAAAGCAAACAAAACAACAACATAAAAAACTATTAAGCTGGGTTACGGTGACACAAGATTCAGGGTTTCAAAGCCAGCCAGGGCTTTAGGAAATTCTATCTCAAAAAGAAAAGAAAGAAATAACCCAAAACCAAAGACAACAGCAACAAAAAGATATTATATAATGATTCTTTTTATTTATTTATTTATTTATTTGTTTGTTTGTTTGTTTGTTTATTTGTTTGTTTATTTATTTATTTTCAAGACAGGCTTTCTCTGTGTAACAGCCTGTCCTGGAACTTGCTCTGTAAACCAGTCTGGCCTCGAACTCATAGAGATGGTATTAAAGGATTGCCACCAGTCCTGGCTCATGATTTTTATTAAATGTATTTTGTACATTTTACTCACATAGCCATGACTCAAACATCACTGTGCTGATTATCAACCGTTACAGTGTTATAGACAAATAAAAAGAGTAACCAAATACCACATTAGAATTCCAAATTTTTGAGGCAAAGTCTCTCACTGCAATCTAGTGTTCACCAATTATGCTATGCTGGCTGGCAAGAAGCCCCAGGGATCCACCTGCCTTAGCTGCCCTCCTGTTGCTGAGATTCCAGGCACATGACACCCTGCCTGGCTTCTCGTATGTGTGCTGGTCATCTGATCTGAGGTCCTCATGCTTACACAGCGAGCTCTCTACTGCCTGAGCCACCTCAGCACTCCTTTTAATACGCACTCCTATTTTTAAATCTTCTGTAGCAATCTCTTACATACGACAGGAATTTTAAAGAGAGAGAAAACAATTATTTTATGAAGTTAATCCATTAGACATCTAGCTGATGTTTAATTTGCTGAGCAAGCGTGGAGCAAGAAAAGTCAAATGAATGTTATTTCTGCACAGACAAACTGTGGAAAGAACAGTTAAGGAGTTGTAGTGATTTAAAACAGCAAACTTAGTTACAGAACCAGGTAGCTCAGTACTATAGGCTATATTAATCACCTAAT